TATTTTCAAGCGGTTTCGTTTTAAAGAGTTCTTGCAAGCTGAATCATCAACAGATACATTGCTCCTTTTCAAAAAGCCTTATGGGGTATTTTTGTCGTTTATTATTTTTAGATTTGGTTTTCATTGTCCCTCACCGATTTGCGCACACTACACCGTCTCTTCAAAATTTGCAATTTTATCTCTATATTTATAACTTTTGCATTTAATTTTACTTTGAAATACAGCTATCGAAATGAACTAAGCCTCACATTTTTCTTAAACCTTTGTTTGACGCGAAAATCTAACGTTACTTTTACTTGATAAATTCGGAGTTGAAACTGCTTTCAAGCACCTTGTAACTCACCACCTTATCCTTTTAGCTTTCTGGACCCGAATCTGGTCTCCTAGGTCCCACTGACTCTTCTTCTGTCTCCATTGTCCATCAAGAACACCAGCATATAAACCAAGCTCGTCAAGCATCTGTTAGGCCTAATTCGAACCCAAGTCCTAGTCCGGAAGCCAAAATAAGCATCTGGCCATCCGACTGGGATGGCCTCCCACTCCACGTTGATCGGGTCACGGCGCGTCTACACGCCCGTCGACGCAAAGAGCAGCGCGAACAACGTCGTCAATTGACTAGACAAGAGGAGCTTGTAGCTGAGTTGAAGCGGCGCACTGAGCAACTGGCTCTGCTCACTGAAGAGGCCAGGAGACTTGAAGAAGAGTTGAAGCTTTCGCGACAGATTCATTTTCAGCAGCACAAAATACAGCAAATTTTACCTTTACCGACATTTCAGCAACAGCAACTTCGTCTGCAATCGCATTTACTTCATTCTGCACTTTCTGGTTTCGATCCAGAGAACATGGTAATTTAGCATCTATCTGTTTTCTCCTATCAGCTAATTGACCTGGAATTGAATTTTTTTCAGTTACTGATACAGTTTATAGCTTTACTCCGTGGATTTGTTTTAGTGTGGCTATTCGGGATCCAATTGTTTATTAGTTAAACCGTTTTCTCGTACGACGTGAAGGCCACTATTGGCTAAACTATCCACTCTAAACAAAGAAGTTTTTATATTTATTTTTATATTTTGTTATACAATGTAACCTAAAATATATTAATTTGAGCTAGGTGGAAACTGCAATCCGCTCTACCATAACTCTTTTTTACCCTCTGAGCATTTATCATCACTTCAACACCCTATCAAGTTTAGTACTTTCATGTGGTTGTACTTGTTAAACAATTTCTCACCACATTTAAAAGACTTGCCTTAACTAGTAACTTGATAAAGAGCACGGTCGCGAAACGTCTCATCGATTCTGGACCTAGGGTATCAGCAGAGAAAACGTTTGCGCTCATTCGAAATTGAGAAATGAGATTGAGTGGACCCTCACTGCAAATAAAAGGCATATATTTTGTTTAGTTTAGGGATAAAATTCCTTCAATCCTGTGTTGATTTTATTTTATGTTTTAATTTACTATTGAGCTATTATGTTGATCTGAGTAGGTCATATTAGTCCGCAATCTTATTCCCATAGGTTTCTCTCTTAGCCCGCAGGATCCGTATCCCATCTCTCTGGTTCAGCTATT